TATAAAAGATTGAGATGATTTTCTGAGATCCAGAGGGGTAGGTACATTACCGATCACCCCATTATTGTAATTCAAAGGAATGATCACACATTGAGGAAGCGAGGGACAAGCACATTACCAATGACCCCACTATCACCTAAACTTTGTCAATGAGTGGAAAAAGAAAAATAGAGATATAAAAAAAATAAAGAGTGAAAAAGATTCAGAGAAGAGAGAAAAGAGGGAAGAAATGGATCAGAGAAGACTACATGTGTGGTCAGAAACTTACAAGGGTAAGAGTCCATGTATCCTAAGATCGATACTCCCAAGGTAGAGCCTGCACTTTTATTTTATGCAAGAAATAAGGTTAGTAGATGGGTGAGTCAAGCTAGTATTTGCTAAGTTGTTGGTAAAATGGATTTGGTTGCTATAATAGAATAAGGTATATAAAGTTCCTCTGAGATTGACACTTGTTTGATGTGGTTGCAATATAGCAAAAGTGATAATGATAAGCTAGAGATTTCGTGAGTCCTTGCCTTTCAAACCTGTTCCACAAGATTATCCTTGTTTCGCTTGAGGACAAACAAACGGTTAAGTCTTGGGGGAGTTGATAAGTCTCACTATTTACCACTTTTAGAACATGTTATAAGCTATATTTGGATTCAGTTATATGTATCTAGGATGTGTTTTAGAATTTTTCAGGTCCACGTACATTTTGGAGCATTGTGGAAATTATGAGCCTTTCTGGAGCTCAAAGAGAGAGTCTAACGCCGATCGACGATGCATTCATGCAATGGATCGATGGTCTACACGCAGAATTCCAACTCGCAAGAGAGCCGTCTTGAAACCCAAGTCACATAAATTACAAGATTTCCCCTGAACGAGTTTTACCTAGTTTATATAATATTTGCCATTCTTTTGTGCAAAGGTAGTATTTTTTACAGATTTTATACTTTTAATAGCAAATATAGTTGTTTAGGGGTTTTTGGGAGAAGATCAAGACTCCTTCAAGCTTTGTATTGGAACCCCAGTTTTATATCCCCATTCTTTATCTTATGCACTATTTTATGTTTAAGATTATGTGCTACTTAGCTATATCTGAGTAGCCACCTTGTTAAATTTAGAGTTACTAATGGTTTTGACCGATTAGTGAAACAATAGAATTGTTAGGGTGATTACTAGATCTATCATCAGATTTGTGCTTATTTCATGTGTTCTTGATTTAACTACCTAGAACCTTGATATTAGGATATTGAGAATTCTGTGAGTGCATGATTAATACTTGAAGTATCACTGACGAGCTTAAATTACTAGGGTTTAAATCCAGACAATAGTCTAGTAATTCTAAGTGAACCAATTGAATCTGGTCGTTTAATGCTTGACTAAGAAAGCCATCGATCGATGTTGTTTACACTGTCATTCCGAGTTTGCACACGAAAGTTGTGAACTCTGAGCTTAGCCATAGGATATATATAAAATTATTAATATCTTAAGTAATTAAATTTCAGTTCTATTATTAAAAACTGATTGGCTTCTATCCATTATAATTCACTACCTGAAAACCCTATATCTCCTTATTTTCTTTAACTGTTTAAAAACCAATATTTCCTTATTTACTATTTTGAAGTCTTATAATTTTCCTAGCATCACTATGTTGATTTTCAAATCTATTGTGTGTCCTCGCTCTCTATGGATTTGACCCCTAAATACTACAGTTGAACCTCTAATTTGAGAGAGTAATCAGTAACTCTAGAATAATTTGAGCATGTATCAACTATTCTTAGAAACTCAACCATGCATTGTTAGAATCAACCGTTAGGATATTGGATTATGATTGATGCAAAGTGGTTTATTTTTTCAGGATCTAAGGCTGATCGTGGTCAAGGCAAGGAGCTGTGAAGACTATCAGTAAGTGGTTGTGTGGTGTGTGGGTAGATCGACTTAGGAATGACCTTAAGATAGTGTATAGAACAGACTAAATATTGTATTGAATATCATTTCTTATATTGTTATGTTGATCTATGAACCTCATATTTCGAAAAGGACTTAGTATTATTAGACTGGAGAAGAATCAAACCAGAAAAATATGTTAAGTAAGACTGCAGGTCGAGTTGGGCCTTCTTACACTCATCTTCATCTTCCCCTATTTTCAAGCCTTTTTCTGGACGTTCCATTGCCTCTTTGTTTCTTCCGAATCTGCCTAAGACTTGGCCGATGCTACCAAAGACATAACTGCCAGTTTCAAAAATAGATAGGAGGATAGAGAGATTTATCATCTTCCAACCGATCCAACAAAGGTCATTTTTTCTAGAGATTATTTGCTCCTACACCCTAAATGACACCCCTAATTTGCTAATTACCCATGCATATCACACTCTCTCTCTCTCCTAACACTTTCTCTCTCCTGACACTCTCTTTCCCCATAGAATGGGCAACCTCTCTTTCTCTTTCCTTCGATTCTTCTTCCTTCCCATTCTTAAACTCTCTTATAATGTTACTGCATTCTATTTTTTGTGTAAAAAATTATTGTTGCGAAGAAAACCTATTACTACTTTACTACTATTCCTATGAATCTAAATTATTAAAATTAAACCACATTCTGAGAAAATCAGCATTCAGACTTTTTTAAAATCGCCAAAGATGTTAACACTGGTGTTAGCTGTTAACAAATAATGTAGATGTCAACAAATGTGTTAACTGTTAACAAATACATGTACAGATGTATTAACAGAGACATTAACTGTTAACAAATTTTGTAAATGTTAACAGATGTGTTAGTTGTTAACAACGACATGTATTATAAGTGTTAACAGAGATGTTAGTTGTTAATAAATTTTGTAGATCTCAATACATGTGTTAGGTATTATATGTTAACAAATAAATACTGTTGAAGTTTCATTTCTCTATCGAAATGAGTAAATTTAAAAATCATTTACACATAAAGTTGTAGATGAGAAAAAAAAATCAAGAAAAAATAGTGTAAAAAGAAAGAAATGCATGTGAAAAAGAGATGTGTGAAAAATATGTGTGGTTTAAAGAAAATGAATGTAGGAAAGAGAAGAAGAATCGTTGGAGAGAGAGAGATTGTTAGATATTCACATGGGAAAGAGAAGGTGAGAAAGGCAAAATCATCCAACCAAGCCTAAAATGCGTAAAACTTTACATTTATGTCAAATCATAGTTAGATCACTATTAAGAGATCCAAATATGGATATTTCCCTAATTCACACTTTTTTCTAACACTGCTACTTCGAATATAGTACTATCAGACTGTATTGTTTGTGGCAGATGTCTACTGTGTTGTAAAGTTTTTGTGAAGCACTCAATAATTTCCCGTCTCTCTCAAATAATATGTAACAAATTAATGTAAATGTCTATATATTATTATTGTATACTAGAGACTTTTCCCGGGCTACGCCCGGGGTTATTTACGTTAAATTTTAATGTAGTCTAAAATATTATTTACATTTTAATATGTAATATGTATTGGAAACTTTGACAATATAAAATATTTAAACGAAGTTACACATATTAGAATGTAAAACGTAAAAATGATGATAAAAACACATATTACATTATTTAAAATATTTTTGCTGTAAAATTAGTTAGCACTCCAATTATTTATAATTGTGATTTCTTTATTATTTTGTTCCTCTATCGGATTTGTATTGTATAATTAGTGATTATGAGTTTAAAAATCTTCCCGTTAAAATTAATATCTCTAGTATTGGATCTAATAAATTATCAACTTGCTAAAAGATAAACAATTGATTTGTTGAATATTTTTAGAAATGTCATAAATGTTGTTAGAGGTAATTGGCAATTGATTTGAGTCTTTTTGGCTGTTATTATTATATTTTTTTGCCGAGAAAATAATTGTAGTAACCATATTGTAATTCTAGGTAGTTTGTTTTTGTTCTCTTTTTGTATCACAGGTTACAAGGAGTTGGCCGGAGAGGAGACAATAGTATATTATCATCAGCTCTCCAGTACAAACACCAGCAAGAGAAGAAGAAAGAGAAGAAGTAAAAAAAAGAATCATAAAGTCTTCTTATCTGGATCATCTTCTTCCTAAGGATGCAGAGGTTGGCATTTAGTCAAAGTCTTGGTTCTTTCTTTCTAATGTAGTCTCGCCTGTCTGTTTTATGTGTATGTACGTTGTGGATATTTTATGCAGTACAAATGGCGCTAATCTGTAGTACATAATTTCTATAAGGAGGTGGAGGAGGTAAACATACTATTTCAAGAAATGTATATACAAACAGTCTATAACCAAAGGTGCTTACCATAAAATTTCCTTGATAAACAATAAAATAAAACGATAATAAAATATTGAAGGTTGACATGTGTTTCTAGGAAAGAGTAACATTTTGTATGTAATGAAGATGTCATGCTAATACCCACCCGATTCAGTTTGGTGGGTGTCTTAAACGACACTAACAAAAGCTTCTATGTAAAGATAGAACACATGTTTACCAGGATTCTCTCTAACCTTAGCTTTGTCTTTTTGATACTTCAATAGTCTAATGTAAGTTCAGGAAAAAAATGTTAGTCAAAAAAAAACACACGACATTAAAAGAAGAGAGGCGCTGCATTTGTATAACCTGAGATTCAGTTTCTTGTCGCATCCGTTCATAGCGTTCCGCTAAATGTCGAGTATCCACCAATGGAGCTCCCATCACCATTGCCCTTAATGGCCAGCGACCTAATAACTTCATCATGCAAAACTTATCTTTGATGCTTTTTTTTTATAATAAAGGAGGTGTTTCTGTTCAAGTGAAACGGTTCTGAAACCTGTGTGCCAAAAGCCTTCAAAAGATTTCCACGCTCTTTCTCCATTTGAGCGCGAGCATTTACGAAGCTAAGTACAGCTCTTGTTAGTGTGTTACCACTTGTACATGTATTTCCTGAACCATATCTCCTGCTGTCTTCTTAATTTAACAATCAGAACCTTCTAAGTAGCGCTGGAAGAGATCCGTGTCTGATTGGTTCGTTATCAGCTAGATGTTCAAGCAAGTGAGCTAACCCGGTTCCAACAAAGTTATCTCCAGCTCGAGAAGGAAAAGTATTGTCCGGATTAGATTATAAGCTGCTCTGTTAAACTGGCTCCTGTTTTCCGAGCTCTCATCCTCGGTGTTAAGCCCTTCACGAATGCCTTGAAACAACTGCAATATCGCAGCTGCGCTTCTCCATCTCCTCCTGATGATGGAATCAAACTCCCTGCCTAGATCAGCCTCTCCATCATGTTGCATGTGACGATGACGACGACGGTTATAATGATGATGATGATGGTTATCGACATTGTTGTCATTTCCATCAACATCATTAGGAGCAGGAACGTTGACCTCATCGTTATCTAAGCCAAGCTCTGTCCTAAACCTTCTACGTCTATGATGATTGCTTGTCATCCCAAGCAAGATTGGACCCCATAGAGTTAATGCACAGTCTGTACTGAAATCAATCTCCGAGTCTTGAATCTCCCTTAGGCTTTTGCTGTTGCTGTTGCTGCTGCCAACATTATTCTCACCGCTCATTTCCTCTACAAACCCGTTTTGGCAAAGGGGGCATTTGATCTCAGCGTCAAGGATTGGATTCACAATTTGTGAACACATATGACACCAATACCTATCTGATGATCTCAGCGTTTTTTTGACTTGTGAACCTAAAGCTTGTCTTCCTGCATCTATAGATAACATTGTCATGTTAAGAGATCTTATAAAAAAATTTCAGTGATTTCAAAAGGTAAAAATTTAATGCAACATTCACTATTAATATCTCCCCTAGACAACACAGTGCCAAAGCTTCTTGACGGCATATCATTCTCCTTAGGCTCCTGCTTGTAAGTGGAAGAAACATTAAGTATCACGTGGAATACCCATTAGGCATAAAGAAACAGAAGAAAACTTCTTACTTCATCAGCTGTTTTGGGACTTCTCATAGTTCTCACTATGAACTTTTTGTAAACATCATTCAACTTTTCAATAGGCTTAGCATTTCTACACAAAAGTCCCACACTTCTCAATCAGACCATGTCACCAAAAAACTGAAAAAAAGACCAGATTTTACCTAGAGATTCCGAGATTAAAGATCTCATTAGCCGTTTTAACCTTAGACTTAAACTCCATATGCAAAGTATAAGCTATATAATACAAAGCATATGTCTTCCCAATCTCATTAACTTCCAAAAACTTATAAATCACTTCTGCATCAGCACAATGCTCCGCCTTCAAAAAAATAAAGAAGCTTACCACTTTCATTTCCTAACCACATAACGAAAAATCATTAAAAGAGCTTAAAAAGAGAGAAGGAGAAACATTTACATATTCCAACCAAACTTTGATAACAAAGATCATCTTTGTAACGCTCCGAGTGCCAGAACTTATGAACCCATTGTTCGTATATCACTAACAGTCCCGAACACTTTCCACCTGGTCGAAATGCCTCTTGTACCCATTTTATACACCAGAAACAAAAAAGCTCATGTTGTTTTTCAAGAATCTCTATTTCCGATAAAAAAAAGGTTGCAATTTTTTTTTAAAGAAACTCACTGGATCCATGGAAATAGAGAGTCGTTGCCATTGTACTCTTCAATATCTTCAATCAACGTCCTAAATAACCGGACACGATTAGAATTGAAGAACTCAGAAGAGCTATAGATGTGATGAAAGTTGAAAGCTTTTTAACATTCGTTTCTCGATGAGACTTTTTCTTAGGTGGTGGTCTGTGTGAGATTTGAGAGCTTGCTTGAGGAGATTAACATTGCGTCCTCCCTTGAGAGGTCTGACGTTCTCCTTGTAAAGCTCTCACTCTTGTCCTGTCTCTTGATTTGAAGCGAAGAATTCAGATTCTGGATCTGAGATCTCAACTCGTGTTTCCGCCATTGTTGTTGTTTCTTTCTTCTTCTTCTTCTCCGCTGGTGACTGTTTTTGAAAAAGGATACTAAGCTCATGTTTAATATCTAAACATGATTTTAAAAAGTAAAAAACTATTTTTATAATTGACTAATTTGAAGCTGAGTCACATAATGAATGAACGAACACATATCTCAGGGGCTGTTGACCTATCAAATCCACACTCAGGGAGCTTTGCGTGGAGTTCGTCGGAGAGGTGGTTTTACAGATGGAAGAAACAGAATTGGAGAGAAGAAGAAACAAAGATGAGGAAGTCGAAAGGCGAGGAGAAGACACAAAGAAATAACGTAATTATGATTAGATGAAATATCAGTTTAGATTGTCCAAAATTATCTGCAAATTATCTGCAAGCAAAGAGGCCAAACGCTAACAGAGGCCCAGACGAAATTTCTTAAACAATTGGATGACATGGCAAAATACTCCAATTTTTGTGGTTGATTATTTGTCCTATGTGGACAGCTTTTTTGGCTCTCATATAGCCCTTTTAATATAGTGTGATTATCTGTATAAAACCAGAAACAAGAAAATAGATGTGTTGCGTGTGTTTTGAGAAGACTTTACATTATTTCATCTTCTTACATCATCCATCACCAAAACAATGCTCATATTTGCAAAATTGGTCAGTGGTGAGCTAAGCAAAAGCCACTGCCACGAATGTTGACAAAATTGTAAGAAGCTTTTCAATCATCAACAAAGAAGGAGCTGATGAGAGATTGTCTGCTCCAACCGAGTAAATTCCTCCTGATCCATCTTTTACGTTGATGCTTGATGAACCTTATAACATAAACGCATAATTGTATATGAGCAAAAAATAAAATGAAAAGTGGGTTTGGTTTGTTTTCTTGGGTTCTAGAGAAACTTACAATTATGATCTGTCCATCCAATCACCTCATTCTCCAGATCATATACTACTAACTTGTTTGAGAGCACCATATCTACAAATTGATTAAGTCGATAATTATGCTACTTGAGTTGTATGTATTAACACATGAGAGACTAAAAATAACCACTTATTTTGATTGTTTAGGATATTCAACGTTTATGTTTGCCGTTTTGAACTTTTACCTCCCAAGAGAATCACTTCTGATCTATCCTCAGTTGTCATTCCACCAACTTGCCAACCGAAACAGTACATTTCTGACTATTGGCAAAAGGACAATCAGAGTTAGATTTGTGAACGGATGAATATCCTAATCCAACATTTATGCTGCTACCTATTGACTTTACTTACATCAAGTGAGAAAAGATAATCACGGGGATAAACAGTCAGTTTGAGAGAGTCCTCAAAATGAAAGTTTACTGGTGGGAAGGACTGATCCACTCTGCAAATTATAGGAAGAAGATTTTAGCATATAAACACAAGAGGTTCAAGCTAGTTTCAGATCAGCTTATCTACTTTTTCTTACTCTTTAGTGAAGGTGAAACATTGGAAGGTTTCTTCTACTATGTGAAGCTTTACAGGTTGACGAGCAGTAATCTTTACAGCAAAAAAAACATGTTATGATGCACAAACTAGAAATTAATATTGCTATGAGTAGAGAACGGTACCGTTTCTATTAGGGAATCATATAGAGCCTGGGGTAAGTAAGCTAAAGTAGTACCACTGTCGATAATGGTCCCTCCTTTCCTGACAATACTTCGTGGGATATCAAGTGGAGCACCATCCACATCCATTTCCATCAACATAACATTGTAATGCATCCTAAAATTGTTGAGCAGAATGTTATTAAAAGATTCACGATCCTATAGAATCCCTACTAGATATAACCATGTCTTATCCTTTAGATTCACTACATGTTACATCTCACTAGAAAATCCGCACCATTGATTTACTTCTCCAAAGGTGTCAACCAATAACCATTGAACATACAAGGAAAAGCTACGAAATTGTACCATAGATCAAGACAGCTATTCAATCAAAAGGATATACTCTTATGGAAATTCTCCTGCTCTAACTTCTTCATTGCAAAAAAAAAATGCTTGGGAAGGCATCACATACTGATTAGGTACCATAGGGGTCGTTTTAACTTCTGGAGAGTCCACTACACCAATAGCAAAAATCCCACCTCCTTTCACATTATCTAAGCAATGGGAAAAAACTCTTTTCGCATCACCAGCGGAAGCAAGTTGTGAAAGGACAGAGGTATTGGATTGTCCAAATCCCATAACGCCATCGACTGCTGACTCAGATTTCCCAAGCTGTCCAGACTGATCACTCCCACACCTGTCTCAAAAGAAGAGTTCTCATGAGAAGGCGAAAGCAAAATTTAAAAAACTCATACTTTTAGAAATGCAAGTACCAATTCTGAACGGACAAGAACAAAGGTGTCAACATGAAACATAAGAACGTATTCTTCCAAATGTGAATGTACATTGAATCTATATATTCAGTTCTCACCCAAATACCACTTCCTGCCCCAGTGGTCCGGTCTGAAGATCTCCAGTAACTTGGTCGAGTGATAAGCTGTCTCTTATAAAGTTCCCCTCACTTGTACTCTGGTCCGCATAGACAATATGATAGCTACATCCAAGAGCGGGTTGACAGCTGTCCGAATTCGATATAAAAGAGCAAAAATCATCGTCACAGTCAACCTTCTTAGAAGTCGAGGAAGCGTTCACGTCATACAATGATAAACTAAACTGCATTGCCAAAAACAAGGATGATTAAAGCTTAGAGATGCGTTACCAATATACACTTTTTAGATTTATAAAATGAAGAATTACACCCAAATTCGTTTTTGAGGGACATTTTGGGCAGGGAGCGCAGTTGATCCATAGTATATCACTTCCTGTATCAACTTGAACATGATATTCCTTTGGTGGCGTTCCGAGTTTGATTCTAGTGAAGTATAATCTGAAACAAAATCAACCAACGGTAACTTTCTCATTGTCTCCCCAGATGATTTCATTTCATACATCAACTATGCCAAAAAAGAAGTAGAAAATGAATCATGTGATTCCGCGTCGTGAACATAATAAAGTAAAATTTTAGGAATCATGTGTGTCCTAATGGAGAGATTTACGTTCATTAGATACACCATTTTTGTTGTAAGACATTCTAAGATAGATTGTTAGAATTCGAGACAGGGACGAAAGAGAGGAAGAAAGAACAAAACCCGACAGAATCTACGTGGCTGTCTCCGCCCAGAGGAAGTTTAACGGACGCGAGCATGCGAGAGTGGCGTTGTGTATCATGAGACTTGAAATGGACAAGCTTCTTCCCCTTCCCTGCAAACTTATGTTGTACCTTAAACACAAAATGACATGTTGCGAATTCTGTCACAATTACAAAAACTGCCACCGCAATACAAAGCTTTATCCTTGATTCCATCGCTACCACGGCCAGATTTTTCTCTCCAGGAAGAAAAACTTGTAAACTATTTCGAATTATTATAATATTATAATATTAAACTCTGGTGTTTTTTGTTCATATTCAGACAAGGGAAGGATAGAAAAGAAACGGCAAAGGAAACATAGAGACGCGTTTCCAAAGGCGTATTTAGCAAATTGCCAAATGTGATGTTTGAAGGTTTAAAAGGAAACAGCTAAATTTTTTCATTGATTTCACACCAATGCTTTTTTTGTTTCGTCTTAAACCAATGCTTAGATTAGTAAAGAAAATATAGCTAGACTCAAACGTCTACACCGGATGAAAAGCAAGTTCTAAAGCATTGGTTATAACCAAAACAATTTGTAACATCTCGGTTTATGATGTATGTGGAAAGACTTAAAAATGATTTTAATATTTATGTAACCAAAGTGCATTATTTTTTTGGTCACACGTCCATCTAAAATACCAGGATTAAGCATGGTTTAGCTGCAGTATTGAAAAATGAGGTGATCTACCTGAAAATCATTGGTGGTATCGTATGAGTGAAGTTCAAGCATGTGGAAAAGTTATATGGTAATTGTATTTTCAGTAAACAAAACTTTTTATCTATTGAAAAATTAACGCACCGTCCATGGCACAGAAGAGGATCCAAGGGCCAAGTGAACGGACATTAGAGCCTTTAGCCGTGGGCGTCGGGGCTTTACATGATTTTTTAAAATTCAATTTAATCTGTTTAGATTGGTTTAGGAAGTCATAGATCAGGTAATATAAAATTCGTCTAATTATGATTTGATTTGGTGTAAGTCGCTTAATCAAGTAACATTATTAGTGTGAATCCATAAATTTGTCTAGTTTGTTTTTTGTTTATCTAATTTTAAATTCATCAAACTAATTTTATAATTAAATCTGAAAATTTTAAATAGCTAATACAAATATAGAATATATAATGAATAAATAAATAATTAGTTAATCCATCTAGTCACTAAGTATATACAAAGCACCTAGTTATAGCTTTACGATTTCTTCAATGTTGATGAAAATAAAATAAAAATACATCAATTAGAATATTGTTTTTTCTAAAAGTAGGTGTTTTGGTCTTTGGTGTCCTCATCTCCTTCCTGGATAACCAGCTTTTGCTAATACTAATGACAAGGCGTAAAGTAATCTTTTAACTGGGTTTTAACCATGAGATCAACATCACCAACTTTTGCGTTTAAACCAAATGGTCTATAAGTCTGAGGTTGATATCAGAATACAAATACAAGACCACCATATCGTGACAGAATTGGAAGTAAAATTAAGAAAACTCGAGATGATGATTTTTGTAATAGTGAAAATTTCAGGTTATAAATTCATTATCTTCTGCAAATTTAGATCCATCACATGGGCCAAAAAAGATTGTTCAATAAACAAATCCTAATTTCATATCAAACCCCTAACCTTCTTCACTTAGGCATGTCTATATTGTTTAGGTAACTCTTCAACTTGTCTGTGACTTCATTGATAGGATAGGTTGGAGAACATTCTTCACAAATGTCTTAGGATTGTCACATATACTGGACAGAGAGTGTATCACAAATCTGAATGGATCGAAGAACCAATTCAAAGTTCGGAATGAAATTTCTGAATTCTCCCCTCTTATGATCAACCAGGTGTTTGGAATCTCAACATGTGAAAAAAGATGATGATGACTGGAAATTAGGAGAGTTGGATCACTCAATGGAAATTCTTACAGGTGGTTTTCGCTGCAAGTGGGAAGATTTCACCATGAAATATGTTTGTCCAAAATATAGGGTGTTATATGATATAAGTCGAACAAATTTGTTTCATGGATCAGACTCAGAGACTGGTTAAGCTTCGTTTGATGCTTCTGAGTGTGTGGTTATGAGGACACAAATTGACTTTGGATACCTGGTGTACAGTTAAATCATTGAGCTGGAGGGTTTCTGATATACCATGATTTTGACCCGCTTTTAGCCATGGTATTGATATGTTTTTATAAGTTTTATATATGTTTTGGAGTCTATTAGGTATGTTTTCAGGTTCAGAAGCATTTTGGAGTAAAGTGATGATTTAAGTGCCCTTATGGAGCTTAAAAGAGAGATTTCCGAGATGACTATGAAGATCAGACAACAAGGATACATATCGATCAATACACACCCTGTGTAATCGATCGATGACGCTTCCATAGAAGATGAAGTCGAGATACTCCATCGATCGATGTACACCATGTACCATCGATCGATATGAAGCGTGGAGAACAAGTCCGACTTGGCCGACTTGAAGCCCAAGTCTTCCCAATATTACAATTATGCCCTTGACGAGTTTTTAACCTAATGGAACTCATATTTATAGTTTTTGCCTATGTGTTTGGCAATGCATGCTTTGTTGTGTTTTGTATGCTTTTGAATCTTTTCAAGTTCTTTTGTTCTTTTGATACTATTCTATACTTAGCAATAAATTATTTCTTTTCATCTTAATTCTTAAAGGTTATAGAATTCTAGATTTAGAAGAAACACACAAAGAGATTTGCTGTTCCAAGAACCAAAAGTTCAATCTTCTAATCTAATGAGTTTCTATTATTTCCTTGCTGTTATGAATCTCTTAGCTATGTCTGAGTAGATTTCTTTGTTAGATTTAGGGTTCAAATAGTTATGAGGGATTAGCCCTAACTATGGAATGTTGAGTTGTTGATATTCATTATCCAAATGAACCCTAATGCTTACTCTAGAGTAGCTACCTAGAGTATGATCATGGATGTGATTTAACTTGTTAACCATTGTCCTGAAATTATTTGGCATAAGCTTAGATCCTCTAGGGATGTGCGAGAGCCGGTCTATGATCTTGGTGAACACAGTTTTGATTCGATCTTATGCTATATCGATCGATACTCCTATAAAGTTATCGATCGACGGCAACCCATATCGTCCGATAACGCTGTCAAAACATCGGTCAATATTGCCGGCAATAAGATCAATGGATGAGTCTATTTAGCGACTGCTATTAGATCTGTCTAAGAATCGAAGTTCTTATATATCTTGCAAGCAATTCACTAAAACATCGATAGCATTATAATCCTAATTATCTGAATAGTAACCTTGAATCTAACTACTTTCTTTTATTGTCTTAAACCAAAACTATTCTCTTGAGCAACTTACCATTGCTTACAAACTGCAATTTACTATTTTAATTAATCAACCTAGCATAATCACTTAGGATTACATCTATCGTGTTCCTTAGTTCCATGTGGATTCGATCCCTAAGTACTACAACTGAACCTCTTATTTGAGGGAGTAATTCACTTCTTAGGGTTAAACATTTGAGGGATATCAGTTTCTCTGATGATTACCCGAACATTCCTAATTGCATCCATGAGTTTTTTGCTCATCAACAAAACATGGCACATTTGATTGATGATGACGAGATAATTGGAAGCCTAAATTATATGTAGACGTTTTCAAAAATATCAGGGTTCTCTAATGATCCTAATCACGAAGCGTCTGAGTGACTAGTGAAATAATGCTTTTGTCGGACAAGTCACTCATTCAAGGGGAGAAAGTGTAAGCGTTGTGTGAAAATTCAGTATATGCTTCAAGGGGTAGAGTGTTCTCTATGCATTTAATAAGTGATGAACTTAGTGAATGTATTTGAATCTATTTATGCATGTTGTTGAATTTTGTTGAGAGTTGCGTGTATATGTGAATGCAAACATGGAGTTAGTTTACTTTGATCTTGCAGATTAGTAAATGAGGTGACATTTTCAGACAAAAAAAGGGGAAGATTATAAGGTCAAGAATAGTGGCTCGTCATGAATGGTATGATCAATATAATCAAGGAGAGTGAAGATAATCTGGACATTAAAGATCAAAGGGTTTATGATCATGAATGATGATGTGTTTGTGAAGAATATGGAAATAGTATATTCGAGATCTTGTGAATTGATCTACTATAAAATGAAGGTAGCTGAAAGGTTAGCAGGTCAGCCGTTTTTAGAAAAGACAGACTCAAGCAAAGGGATCTAGAGTAAGGGTTTATTGAGAGTGAGATTTGTGTGAGAGAAGTGGTTGTTATCGCTTTAGAATATCTTGGGTAGTTAACATCATATTTGTGTATCCAAATAAAGCTGATTAAACAAGATAATGAAGTTTGTGTAAGTTATTTCTAATAAAGGTAATATCAAAAGAATAATCTTGCACTACTCAATCTTTCGATTAATCTAAATTCTAGGTATTTCAATTTACATCAAAAGGCGAAAAATAGATGTTTTAACAAACACGAGGAGAGCCAAACAACACAATTACATAAATCTACAAGCCAGAACATAGAAAGCAAGTCCTAGAGGTTGTGGCGATCAAACACAACCCAAGCCGAACCCGAATGCATGAACCGCCAACAAGACAAGAGGAAGATAAGTCTTCTAGCACTCAAATTCACATGAAACTATTTTCTACAAGTGTTGAGGCAGGGGATATATATAGCTAAGGAATGCCAAACTGAACAACTCTTGAACCGTACACACCTCTTATACGAGAGTGCATACGCCTAAGGTAGGTGATAAATCTAGGTAAATCTGATTTGGAACTCCAAATGGTAACATAATAGTTGAAACATGGAGCATACAGCCAAAGGTGAAAAGTTACCAACAGTAATATTTGCACCAAAGCATAAGAAAACTCAAAATACAACCCACTCCATGTTGTCTAAGAAACAAAGCTGTAAAAAGCTATGGAATTTATCAAAGTAATTACCAAAAGGAATCAAATTGTTTCCATTGATTCCATGAATTTAACAATGCATTTTCTTTTCAAAAATTAGCTGAAGCAGGAAAATAAAAGATGGAAAGAGAAACGGAGATCCCACTACCTTGAAGCTCACTTTAAACGTCGAAAAACATTGAAGAGGAATCATTTCTTCCTTTTTGATCACGGAAGAACCACCAGATTCGTATATATATACCTTTGTTTTATTATCTTTGCCGAATGAAATGAATCCACTTACTTGTATCTTAATTACTAAATCTTATCTACTCTCTGTTACTTATCAACAAACAAGATAGAAACGTAAAACGAAATAGAATGGAGAAAAATATCCTCAAAAAGACACTAGACTCAGTCTCAACGTAGTTCTTAGTACAACGTTAACAAAAATTTCCAATCTAATCAGAATTAGAAGTCCAAATGAATTCAAATGCCTCAAACTCCAACATATCATTACTAACCCTTTTCACTGGCAAGCTCAGTAAACTAATTCCTTCAAAGATGTCATTTCCATCGTCTATGCCCGGATAAGGAGATCCCGGTAGACTCCAATCAAGGGAGGTGGAGATCATGCTCTCTTTCATCCACGGAAACTCAAACACTCCAAAACTCTCCTGCCCGGATTCCTCAGTACTCCCGCTTGACCTATTCTCGTCTATCTTCTTTCCCTCAGAATTTAAGTTAATAATATTGTTGATTACATGTCTCTTCTTGTTCTTCGTCATATGTTCCTCTACTTTTTTGCGTTTATTGTTTTTAGACGAGCCCTCCATCGATCTGAAATTTGAGATGATGACATTCGGAGTGTATTGAAACAAATATATACGGAAGTCACGCCTTCTTACCCGTAATCATCTGTCATTTAGCATTTTAAAAGCAAACCAACCAAATCCTTTTGTGTTGTTTTCGTGTCTTCCTTCTTTTACGTTCTTCTTTCTCCCTGCCCCAACCACACAAGAAATTGAAAACGTTTTGAGATATCAAAGGATGAGGTGGAACATTAAGAAGCAAGCGGCTATTTTTAGGATTTTTTTTTCTTTTTCAGTTCACTCACCAATCTCCAATTCGGGTGATCACTTTTTAGATATAGCTTTAATAAAAATAGACAAAAAATTAGTCTTCTTATTATTTTTTTTTTTTGACAACGAAAGACTGATCTATTACTCAAGTTTGAGGTGGTCTGGGAATCCAGACCGGAATAGAAAAACCAACATACATCAGCTCACGATAGAAGGATCAGACAGTCTTAGCTAAATGATCGGACACAACATTTCGAGACCTAGGTACATAAACTATCTTGAAGTCTGGAAAATAAATCCTCAGCGTCAAGAGCGTCTCCAGTTCTGTCGAAAAGCTTGGCCATCCATGGGGTTCGAGAGCATCGCTATCAACTCCTTGCAATTCGTCCCAAAGCTCTGACATGGCGAATGTTAAAGCATATTCTCCATTGCCCACCGCAGTGCTTCCAGCTCAGAATGCAAAGTCGACTCCACTCTACCAACATTACGTAAGCCCATCAGTTGAGTATTTCCCATGTTATCCTTCCATTCCCAGTCACATCCTGAGAATTGATCTATAGAGGTCAAAGAACCGTATATCATGCAAATATCTCGTAGGCATATGACCTGACGTTCAGCATCTCCGCTTTCTTCTGATATCTCAATTTCCTGCTCATTAGCTTGGAACCAAGCAATACACTCACTCTCCGCATACCGGGCTAGTTCCAGAGGGTCTCTGTCTATTCCTCTGAACAACTTATCGTTCCTAGCCTTCCAGATGTACCATATTAGCCAAGGAAAAGGGTCATGTCTAGTTCTGGCCCACCTATGGCCTTCTTCCTCCAGAATAGATAGTCCATATTCGAATACATACTCTCCAGAGGAAATAAAGATGAGCTAGTGGGTATAGATGATAAGGCCCAGACCTGTAAAGCCGGTGGACATTGAAAGATTGCATGTGCAATTGTCTCAAAAAATTAGTCTTATTTCAAATGAAAATATCCTATCATTAAAAATATTATATCATGGTACGTCTACTGCAAATTATAAGAAATTCAACGTAGGCACTGTTGAGAATGTCCTAAAATAATTTGTACTTACTCTTGATAAAGTCGTAACGTCGAGGTTCGACAATCGTATAATATTAGGTGGTTATAATGTTTTGCTAGAAACCGCTTATAATCTGTGAATTGAGACTTCATATCTAATATTATATGATCCTACATGATCACACAACTAAACAAACTGGATTAATAATATATGAATTGGTTTGTGAAAAGTATACATTATATTATATGTGATATAAATATAAATGTATATGTATGGACCATACGTGATATTAATAATAATCTCTTTGGAAGAAATTATGTATTATGGTTAATGGGCTTTGTTAATAATTCCATAGTCCATGTATTAGTCTTAGTCTTCACTATATAATGTGATATAATGACGTGAGCTGGTTAAAGGTTGCCGCAATCACAAACCTAATAAAAAAAGACAAACTGTTCGTTGTGAAGTTTTGAGATTTGATCTCGACGGTACTTGTAATAACCCTTCTGAAGGGGTAAAATGAAGATTGGTAGAGAATCAACTTTGTGGTTGAGTCGCGGACGATAACGATCGATCGAGAGCTTTTGAAGTACGAGATGATCGAAGAATGGATCGTGAGTGAACCATGAGGCATGATAAGCTGCTCTACCATATTTGACAATGTCTTAGATTGATCAGCCAGACGTTTTGGAAGCATAACAATTTTGAAGCACGATGATTCTAAAGCTCGACGTTTCTTAGTCACGAAGTAATCTGCAAAACTTCGTAACTATCATTATTATATTATTCGGAGACATAATCTTGGAAACAGGACGGGAAGTAAGCAGGACGGGAAGCAAGCACGACGGGATCGAAGAATGACGGGAAATCCCAAAGTTGGGCGAAAACCCAAATTTCGATATCACATTTTTTTAGGAAGCCGGAGGCTCGGGAAATATTTTTCAGCAAGGTCAAGAATTATTTGGAGTCTATAAATATTATTTGGAGCATCAGAACGGGAACGGAAAAATATTCGGGATTGATTACCGGTCAAAGAAATGCAGGAAGGACCAAAATCGCACATATTAACCGAGAAGCTCGAGGTGGCTAGATCTAAGGGATCAGAACGTGGTGTCAAAATTCTAGCAAGCTCAGTGTCAACAGAAGCTCGAGGTGTATCCGTTCATGGAAGCCCGACATATGGCTTGACACACAGAAGCACAAGGTGCCGCCGTATCTGCAACCGAAGCATGCTGATCGACATGTAGCGGCCCGTGTGTCGCAACACATGAACACCAGCCATGCTGAGAGACATCTGGACGTGGTGTGTCACTTTTCATGAGATCAGGGCATGCTGATCGACATGTGTGCGCCCATGTGTCGCCGCGCATGAGTCCGGAAGCATGCGGATCGACACACAGGCGGGTAGTGTGTCTCGATGTCATTGGCCGGCGACTTCTATATATACCAGCACGCCCCCAGAAGTTTCATTCAGTCATTCCACACCAAATAAACACCAAATACGTTCCTAGAGAGAGAGAAAGAAAGAAAATGTGATTTTGAGAGTATCGTCTTTCTCGAAGACCGATATTACACCGAGAAGGAAAATTCTGTCCAATCGGCGATTCTCATTGATGGTGAGTGCAGGTTCCCGTTATCTTTAAAGATAGTTTCATAGAAGGAGGTTGAACTATCTGGGTAACGATTTGATTGAATTGATTGATGCTTGCTTGTTTATATAATGCTTGTTGATTGAGGTTAGTCAGCTCTTGGTAAGGGAGTGACTAACCGGTTGAGTTGTTATTTATTAAGTATTGTTATTTACTTGTTTAGATGTAAGTACTAAGTGTCTTAGGCCATATAGGCCGGACTACTGGTACTATTGATTAGTGTTGAGTCTAGATNGAGGTTAGTCAGCTCTTGGTAAGGGAGTGACTAACCGGTTGAGTTGTTATTTATTAAGTATTGTTATTTACTTGTTTAGATGTAAGTACTAAGTGTCTTAGGCCATATAGGCCGGACTACTGGTACTATTGATTAGTGTTGAGTCTAGATAATATCGCTAGGTTGTGGATAGTTAGGTTCTGGAATCTATGTCCTTAGGTTAGGTTTTGGAATAAGGTTGTGTTTAGGTTGTTAGGTGTGTGTTTCCGACATCATGCGTGTAACCCGCCCATGCTAGGCATGTTTAGGAGTGATTAGTGTTTCCTCAGCCTGGTACCCAGCGGGTTCAAGGAAACCCCTTATTCATTGGATCGGGAAGACTCAGATAGACGGGATCATGGCCTATGGCTGAGTGTTACACGACGGTGTAACGTCCGGCAGTGACCCGAATGACTGTGGGCTGTCGCGCGGTGACACGAATGACTGTGGGCCCGGTCGGTCGAAAGTTCCTTCTTCTAGCCTTTGTGGTAGGAAGTTAGGATGTTTCCGATAGAGAGGACGAACACTAAGTCACAAGGGCTTGATTTAGAGTGTTGTGTTGAGTTATAGTGTTGAGTCGAGTTTAGGGTTATGGAATCCTAGGGGAGTGTAACACTGATATACAGTGTTACGCGTTAGATCGAGTCGTGATTAGTTAAAATATTATTATTGTGATATTGGTTTTTGATTTCCTTGCAGGTTTCTAACATTGAGATATAATCCCGGGTTAGGTTCCGGATCAGACATGGTGTTTGTTTGGTTAGTGTAGACCCGACGTTGGCCTGTATTGTTTGAGTGAATTCTTATGAAGGGTGGTGGATATTGAAGTTATGCAGTATCATTGATTGGCCGATCATGTTTTTGTCTGATGGTTTGTCGACCAGTTAATGATACTTGTATAGTCTAAGTGTCTAACACTACATGAGTACTGAATTCAGACGTATACATGGTTAACTAAGGATTGGTTGTGTAGCCCTTAGCTTTGATTGCATGCTTAGGATAGATTGAGTGTTATTTTTGGATTTTCTGGGTTAGTTATTAGGTTGCGGGTAGAGGCCGCCAACTCACTGAGTAACATTAGGTTACTCATCCAACTCCATTGTCTTTTTTGTAGGTATCTTTAGATATGGATGACTGTGATAGAATGGAGCTGGACATTAGGACCACCGGAGTAGATTTTCATGCCTTTTGTATACGGTATTTTGGATTTTGTTTAGTTGACTCGATTTGGCGTTAGGCCAGGACCGGTCTTGAATTATTCTATTGTATGGTTATTTCTTAAATCAATAAAGTAGTTGTTTTATATGCGCATCATGAGTACTCCGATATTTGACTTGTCCGGTCTAACAAAACAATAGGTCGTCGTACGGGTTGAAAAGCCTTAGGCCTCGATGTAACGGCAACGCTAATTCTTGGTACGGGTTGCAAAGCCTTATGCCTTGATTTAGCGGGACGAGTTAGTGGATGAACTGGTCTAAGTCGTGGAGTAAATTTTGTGACTCTGACCAGATTGTCCCTAGCCCGTCACGTAGCGCTTCCGGACCATGGTGTTGGGTTGGACGATCAGTCATGTTCTTTTTTGATTGTTGGCTGGCCGGTTAGCCTTTCATCTCCAACCGTGGGTGTTGGTCGGTTGATCGGTCATGTTTTTATTTAATTGTTGGCTGGTTTATCAACCATATGTCTAGGAAGGTTCGGGGTTGTTATAGAGGTGGTATCAGAGCATGGTTACGTCCATGCTTCCGGAACTCATGATTTAATCGGTTTTAAATATTTTATCGAGTCAAAAGAGTCACAGAAGGCATTAGGGAACCGGTCATGTC